GAGAATAAGGACCGCACAACGTGGATGCACGACAATCCCATAAGAGGTAAAGCAAAGATGGTTACCACCGTGGTGGGTGGTTTCGGGTGGTCTCTGAGAAACTCACTCTCTCCTCTCCTCTCCTCCCCGTCCCGGGATTGAATCTCTTATGAGACCCACACACCGACCAAAAAAAACAGCCCATCCTGCATGATGGCAAATTTTAATATATATTGCTGGAGGGCTTACTTATACAAATATTATATTCTACATAAATTAAAAGTAGATGATCTATCTTGAATGAAATTAAGGGAAGACATATTGAAGGAAATTTAAATCCATCAAACACCCTAACATGAAAAGTTTAACAAAAAGTCCAAACGTATTTGGCCTTTCTTGTCAATGAAAAATCATAAACAACGCAGACAAAATGTACCTAAAGTAGATGTGCGTAACAACTCCGAAAATTCATGACCGTTAAACAAAAAAAACTAAAGAAATGTACCTAAAGTCCTAACTTGTAAGTGCAGAAGAATGTGAACAAAGAAGGCAAAAAGTACATGCAACTGGTTCTAGTGTGGCCATGGTCCAGTCCAGACCAATTGAAAAAGAGACTAAAAAACCCAAACACNTTTTCAATACATATTCAAGTCTTCCATGAAAATTTAAGCATGAGCTCAAGAAAAAATATGACAAAAATGATCAATTACATTTTGACCTCTTTAATTAAGATTCTTGATCCTGTTTTACTTTTTGGTTTTCTCATATTGTACCTTCAATTCTAGTTATCAATTTCAAATTGCTCCAATGATAAATCTTGGTGATGAAATGGGTAACAAGTTACGTCATTGTGGTCTGGACTATGCAATTTCTTTTTATTTCACCCTAAAATCTAAGTACACATGCACATTTTTTATTTAAAAGATCGTTGAACTATGTGATTTTGTCTTCCTTTACCACTGTTTAATGAGATGNACGCAATCAAACCCCCTATATGAAGAGAGAATATTTATGCAACTCGAACCCAAGACGCTCAAGTCGTAACCTTACCGCTACACTGAGGCTCAACATCACTAATTGTTAGTCTTCTTTCTTCCCAAGTGTAGAGAAAGCAAATAGATATTAGAATGCAGCAAAGAATACAATGGGCTCAAGAAATTTCCCTGGACATCAAGATACACTTTCATATCAACATTGTCACAATATAACTACAGCAATCTATATGCCCAAAGTGGGCGCGGTATGGTTAAGAGCTGTTCTTAATTGCTCTCCTACAGATTACTAGAAGGTAGGAATAGCTTCATCCTATCTTCAGCGGCAGTTTAATGAATGGATGGATGAAAGAATACCTGATTCTATTAGCACAAGAGGAACCAAAATAAGGCTACACCTTTAATTGTTCCAGATGAAATGAAAATTCTCCGATGACAAAACAAAATATTCTTCAAAAAGTTAAAGGTAAATGTGAACTCAGATCCAAGAAATGGGGAGCTCTAAAGTTGAACGGCTTGAAAAGATTGCCACTTTTTTTTAAGAAATGTTAGAATATAGATCAAAGCAAGCTGCAACATAAGTCAAAGAAATCTTATCTAATAGTTCACGCCACACCTTGTGAAATCAAAATACATCAACACATTTCAGTGACACAGCTTAGAAGCCTAAACAAAAATACTCCACAACTCAAGAAGGTCATCAAAAAATGCTGCCAATTCATCCTGTGAATTCATCTCCAGTGAAAAGAGAAGCTCTAGCTGCTTCTAATACAGTAATAAAACAAGAAGCCTAATTTAAGCAGACTTGTGACTTTCCAGCCCACAGCAATCAGAGGTTAAGATAAAACCAATGCCTCATGATATAACTATGACATTCAAACTCCCTTTAATTTTTTCTTCAAGGGATGTTTATGGTTCACTGAATCCTCCTGAAGTAAGTTCTGTCTTATGCAGAAAATTTAGTCTGCCTAATTATTCAGTCAAATGTCAAGTGTATGCTGAAGTTTGGTAAAAAATCATTTTAGGCTAGGTAAGACAAAATTAGAAATGAGAAAATCCGTGAAAGCACATATAGGAGATAAAGTAAGTACTGCACCAGTGAGAAAGAGTGATGTGATAGCTATTGACGGTAATCGAAATGGTAAAAGAAGATCAAAATTAACTTTAAATAATATAGTAAAAAAGACATGGTAGTTCATGGTTTAACAGAAAGGGTGACCCTTAATAAAGTACAATGACGAAGTAGAATTCATGTACCCGACTCCAAAAAATGTAAGGACAACACTGAGTTGATTTAAGTTAAGTTCGTTAAGGTAAGAACAATTCCTTATGATAGGAATAGGATTNTAGAATTCATGTACCCGACTCCAAAAAATGTAAGGACAACACTGAGTTGATTTAAGTTAAGTTCGTTAAGGTAAGAACAATTCTTTATGATAGGAATAGGGCTATGACATTCAATTCCTTCAACATTTTTCTTTAAGTGATGTTTTTGGGCTCACGAGTCCTCCTGATGTAAGTTCTGTTTTATGTAGACAATTTTACTCTGCCCAATGCTTTAGTAAGAATGTAAGTATATCCTACAGTTTATCGAAAAAATATTACCTTGTATTTTCCCACTTTGACATACAGCTCAAAAGAGGCTACTTAGTCACATAGTGACTGTAAGCCCTGTAAAGATTCCATTGTCAGTCCATAATAGATGACTGCATGTCTCTACACATGACCTTTTCCCCATCACCATTCCAACAACCTAAGACATGCTTTAATATAGTCATATAGGGGAAAATCAACACATTCAATATAACAAACAAAGCACAAACTAGAAGCAACTTGATTAAAATGGATGCAATCAAAAAGTACCAACTGCCACATGATAAAATTAAAACCAACTTATAATTTAGAATTCAGGACAAACGTAAAATCAAAAGAAAGAATCGAGTAAGTTCTACTCATTATGTCCTAATCCCTGTCTTCTCTAAGTCAACCTACGGATCAAAGTCCAATGATAAGGCTACTGTTCTAAGCAATTAACGAGCCATTTCTTCGATTACTGTTGTCCTAATCCAAGTCTCGTCTAATTCATTCTACAGATCAACTTCAAGTAATATGACTACTATTCTGAGCATTAACTTTCAAAATCCAGTTTTCCATAAATGACATTTTACATGTAACAGCATTAATAAGGGTTACGTCAAGAGGCGTCCAAACATTGCCAAAACCACCGAGATTACCTTTAGTATCTGGGGGTCCATGAAGTTAAAATTTCCATTATTCTTAAAATTGGCATACTTGTTGACTCTCCATACTTTGGAACTTCACCATCACCAACGTCAAGACTTCCCCTAGTGATGACCACAAAGATAAATAATTATTGACGCTTTTATCTTGTATTGGAGGCCTAGCAACAATAAACACCCGAAGACCCATCAGCACACGTCATTAAGAACCATAGCTTAGATAATGTCATTAAATGAAATATTAATCAGATTAGCAGAAAATAAGCCTAACCTCTAATACAAAGTACAAACAGTGCATAAAGGCAAGCATCCCAGTTAAACAATCAACAAAGGAAGCAACCATAGTGACTGAAAACTTCCATTCAACAAGCATGATTGATCTTGCAAAATCATTTCTAAACCCGACAGCCCTGCTGTCTCTATTGCAGAAAAGTGCTAGCAAATTCTCATAGAGACAAATATTACCATATCAAAAGCTAATAGAGGGGGCAGCTATACATAGAGTAACCAACTAACATAAAGAAATATTACCAAGTCAAAAGCTAATACACGGAGCAGCTATATATAAAGTAATCAAACTAACCTTTGTAAATTTCCTGCTCGATTTTGAGCCTCCTACATTCCCACAGCATCCATTGCTTAATTTGACATATACAAATTGCTCTCAACCTGGCACAAATAACGCATACGTTAACAGCAACATTACGTCATACTTGACAAATGGAAACTAACTTCCAGAAGTCGTGCATTCTTCTCGACATTGCAATGAAGATATCTCCCACACATATGACCCAGCACACTGGGAAGAAGGCTTGGCTCTAAAAAGAAGCCTATAAGTATNCATTGCAATGAAGATATCTCCCACACATATGACCCAGCACACTGGGAAGAAGGCTTGGCTCTAAAAAGAAGCCTATAAGTATTTGCCTTGTTAGCGATTGTGAAGGTATAGGAGAGTGATTTTGGTTGTAAGTTGTAACATAACCTAAAGATAAAACTTCAACAAATCATAGCTGGGTACCATGCGAGGCTCTCCAGGTAGGCTGCCAAATTAAAGCAATTGCTAATAATCCATAGACAATCCCAACAGACTATATTGCCAACACTGTAGAAACCCACAGTCAACCGCTTGCTTGACAGAGACGCACAAGAACAGAGAGAGGAAGAAGAAGAGAGAGAGAGAGGAAGAAACATAAAGCAGCAAACCAACAGGATGGTAGAATGACATATATGAATTGGCAACAAAAACAGAATTGCCCAAGCAGGGCTACAACTATATACAATTAAAATAAGAAGCATATTTCAGTAACAACTGTCTATTCTACAAAACTTGTAGGTCCCCCAAATCTTCCCCCTGTTGTTAATAACATAAATAAATTGACGAATCAAAAAAGTATGAGAAGGAAAATAATAGTACAAAAACAAATAGGATTCCTCCACTTAGGGCACAATCAAACATCTGGTACAACAAATATGGCAGTTAAAAAGCAAGTCACTGGACATAAACATCTTTTTGTTCACAACCCTTTGCTCGTCCTGCACAAGGGTCCTCAAATAGTCTGTAACTGAGAAAATGAAATTCTAATAGTTGAACCACCGAGGGACGTGGCATGCTTGCATACAAGGGCTTCAGTAGCCTGCTCCTCACTTTCAAACAGGACAAGAGCTTGCTTCTTTCCATTCATTTCAAAGAGCTTGGTACTCACAAGGGTGCCATGTTCTTCCAAATGCACCACAATCTCTTCCTCAATCACATCCTGTGGTAGAGTGGATAGATGGATCATCTTCGTTGGGGAGCAACAGTATCGGTAATTTTTTGCAGCATTACGGTTAAAACGGTTGAGATTCGAGTTTGAATAATCATGCGTATCAGCACCCGTCGTAATGTTTGGATGCTTTGAAAAATTCACCTCCAAGCGCTTCCCAAACAGCATAGCTCCCTGTATTCCAAATTCGAGCTGGATTAAGTGCCACTACCCCTTGAGTACAAAAAGTTTACAACAATAGAAGCTATACATGTTTAAATTGTCCAAAAGTCTTAAGTCAAACAACTTTAGCAAAACCAGCATATGAACAACTTAGAATCGACTATGTGAAACTTACTTTGACAATATGCTATACCAATCACCATAATATGTCCATAGAGTTTTACCATGATTCTCAGTCATCATGTTCATATGGGCTTGACTAATGATTCACACTTCCCACGAACTGAAAATCATCTTGCCTTGTGGAATATATTATTAATTAACTTACATGGAATGGCTTCAAAGGGTTCAAACTTCAAACAACAGTTGACTAATATGTGTCATAATTGTAATTTGACTTTTTTGGGAGGATAGCAAAACCAGATCATGATTTTTGACAGAACGGGAAAAATGCAAATCAACACTTGAGACCTAACAGGATAAAACAACAGAGGTCCAAGAATGCAGTTATGCATTAATAAATCTTTATCAAATGTAGTAACGTCCAAAAGAAGGAGCTAGAAAGAATTAAAAGCCCAAAAACTTAGTCATGCAAAAGAAGCAATAAGATGTTACTAAAAATGCAAATCGTGCTATAATTCAAAAAAGCGGAAGGTTGCCTACTAGAGAATTGGGATAGGTTCAAATGCAGGAGTTGGCCTCTCCAAATTGAGGGTAAACCTACTTATCAGTTACCTCTCCCACACCCAGCCTAAAGGCATTATTGGCTGATCAAAGGATAACAACATATAGTCTAAAACTTAGTTTTGAGAGAATCAAGGGTGGCCAACCAGGCTAGACCCAGCTGGTCTATATCCTAAAATTTAATGAGTAGCACCAACAATATAAACCTTCACATGAGCCTAAATTCCATAGGAACTTAAAAGATAATAAAAGGCATTGCCCAAAACTATACAAAGAAGACTGATTCTCAAACTGGATCAGAAAGACTCGTTCTTGAAGCTCACAAAAAAGACCTCTCATGTATATACACATTTGGAGGGCAAAAGATGAAAAACACCTTTTTTGTAGAAATTGACAGCCTCAAGTAAGTGAAGATGATGTTCATATTCTAAACGGAAAAAATAAAACAACAAATAACAACCAAGGACATGAGATAGTGGGAAATACTAATTGGATAAAAACAACTAAGACCAACATAAAGAAACAGTGAGTGTTAGTGTCATAGTGTCATAGGGACATATTTTCAATGCCGAAACTCCATTGCATACAGTCATTTGCCAACACTATTTAATGGGAAACCAAAAGCAATACCTCACAGAAACAAACATCACTAACAACAATAAACTCAAACAAAAAGCATCTTCAGGAGATTGTAGGAATCAGACCTTCAAAAAGTGTACTGCCAATTCAGCCTGGAACCCATCACCCATCTGAACCAGTGCATGATCTGGTTTATTCCGGAGAAGTTTAATTCTCACAATGTTTCCGTAGATGGAGAACAGGTTAAACAGCTTGTCCTCATCTATTCTCTGGGATGAAGAAGAGTTACCACAATGAAGGGTGGAGAGAACCAAAACAGTGGTTAGAGAATGAGCTCCAGCTTTCCAAAGAACGCAACAGAGAAAAGCCAAACACAAAAGGAATTCAAGGGGTGAAAGAGAGAAGGAGAGAGAAAGGCTCACATCAGGATTTAGATTGGATACAAGAACCGTGCACCTATCATTTGTCCCGCTTATTCCAGGAGGCAAACCACCTCCAAAGGCAGCTGCAATGGCAGCAGCATTACCCATCTAGAATTCATTTAGGGAAACAAAAGAAAATTGGGTTACATCTTTTAGTGGCAACTGTCCTCAAAATATACATGCATGTGAATATATAATTATACATAACACATATATACTTGTACAGAAGGTCAAGAAAAGGTTTTTCCCTTCAAGTAAATTGTAATATGTAGTGATGAAAAGAGAAATTCTGCATACATGAAGCTAAATAATAGCCTCTGATCAGTGGCAACCATTAAAGAAGCCCAATATACTAGAAATCTCCTAGTTATAGTTTGATCCCTCCCCAATAATAGATATGAACCTAAAAACCCCAGGCCCATCATACTCTTCATCAAATCTCCATGGTTTATTATAAAAAAGGCCAGATGAAGACCATGAGATCAAGAGATAGGATATTATGAATAGCACCAGTTAGACAATCATTGTGCCCGAATTTCACTGTTAATGGCAGATCTTGTAACGAGAGGTCGACAAATAGACATCTAAATATTCCCTCAAGAATGCTGGCTGAGATGAATATCCCAGCTCTGAAAGAGAGATCTCACATGGGGCCCACAACACAATCAGAGCCATACCCACCTGTGGAAATCCAACTGAAAGTCCAAAAATAACAAAAAGAGAAAAGAGAAAATAGGTCAGAAAGAAGTTGAATAGCCCAAAACTGTCTACAAGCAAACAGAGTAGAATAATTATGTAAATGCTAGAGTAAGCACCTGCTCTGGCTCCAGAAGCTTGAAGAGCGTACACATCTCCATATGCAGGCTAGTACGTTATCGAAGAATTCAAGTCAGTGTCAGAAAGCACAAGGAACAATGTATCATAAACTCACTCACACAATTTTAAGAGAGAGAAAGTTGAAACCGAAACATACTTGCGAGGATTTGCCCTTCTGCTCTGAAGGCAGAGATGGGTTTGTGAAATCCCTATACAGAGGACAACAAATAGAGCAGCATCGTCAATGCCGAGGTACTTAAATGAAATCACAAAGGAAACTCTAAAGTTATAGATCAGATAAGACTTTATTAAGTACAAAGAAAACTGTAAGTCATGCGTGTAAGCAAAGAAATCATGAAGCTATCATCCCACCTTGACCGCTCATTATTGAAGTTCACTTGCAACTCATCAAGGCTGGATCACAAAAACTAATGATAAGTACAATACCAAGGATGGTAATGGGACAAATATGGAAACACAATAATTAAAAACAAAATGGTTGAAACCGACTTTGAAAACTGAATGTCCAGCTGACAGCAACCATCATATATATTACGCCCCTATAGAGAACATGCCAACTCTTTAAAACGTCTAATAAGCCAAACCGGTAAGGAAGCTAGAAACAACACCTCCACTTGAAGGAACTTTGTGGAACACAACAAAAACAAAATACCTGAAGTGAGTTTCTAGCAGCAACAGCACTCTGACGTAATTGATACTGAATAAGAGCTTGAAAGCCTACAAAATTAGCACATACAGGGTAACCAAAGCTGTAAAGACTGTAGAAAAGGTTTATATTAAAAGGTCACAGTTACCTTCATAAAGCATTTCCCACATAACATGAAGAAAATATGAAGGTGCAGAAAACATTTGGAAAAATAAAGGATCATAACAAACGAATGTAAAACCCATGTCGCTGATTTGACATGCCAAATGAGAGGTGAAATTAAAAAAAACTGAGAAAGAGAGAGGGGAGAGAGAAAACTTGAAGAAGCTGACCAGCTGACTTCTGAAACGTGACGATCTTCTCCACAAATCCATGAGGAGAAAACACTTGATGCAGCACTTCCACGGTTATAGGATATAGCATGTGATGTATTGTAACTAAGAGAATTCGATTAGGCTGTGATCCAGAGAGTGCCAAACAGCAGACCAGCATAGAACCGAAGAGAGAGAAGAGAAGAGAATGAATATAGAAGAACAGCATAGAGAAAAGGAGAAAAAATTGCAGAAATATAAGGTATCACATGAACTCATAACATTTTTTATCAGCGATATGAACTCATAATTTACCGAGCAAGCATAGGGAAAGATCAAAAAAAGAAAAATGTCTGAAGCAAAAGAAATAGAATGCAACAGAAAGTTAAGTGAGAGAGCACATTATAGTTCAAACTCTAAGTTATTTGGCAATTCACACATGTGACACTGCCTTTAGTCTTGTGACCTTTGAATCTGATTCCCAAGAACATAAAGAAACAATCCACCATAAAAATGCAGGACATAAAATAGAAATAAACATTTAGAATACTATAACTGGCCCAGCACATACTCATAATTATTCACCAAATTCAAGATTATTCCCTGTATCACTAAGTGATTCAAAACCCTCAAACATGCAAAGCATTTTCCATTCACGTCATCATGCAAGAGCTCAAAAGCATTCAGGATTGTCAACAGTAGTGCTACCAGTAACAGTGGTTTTTTTGTTGGTTTTGGTTGCTAAAATAAAGTCTTTGACAATGAAAAATGTTAGGGCTTTCAGGGGTTGAAAAAACTATAGTCTAGAGATTTGGTTGCAGGATAAAAGTGTAAAAAGAAAAAAAGAGAAATAACGAAAAAGAATTGGACCTAGACCTCCTAGGAACATCCCCTAAGGATGCATAAAGCATTAAAACTTCAATCAGCTTCACAAACAAGTTACCCTATGCAACTCAATCTTCCTTATCATTTTTTTTCTGGAAGCTATCCTGATTATCTTTTCTAGGCCTATGTATCCACAATTTGGAATGTAATTGACTTTTTGAATCCATACTATTCTTGACAAGTTTTGGACTCCAAATACAAAGTAAACACCACAAATAGATACAAAATATCACCCATGGACCAAAATTACAGCCCATTCCAGATATTACTGAAAACACCAAATTGTTCTTGCCGCAAAAGCTAAGAACATAAACAACAATATTTTCAGCAGCTTACTAACCCTAAATTAACATCAAATAAGAATTGAACTCAACCAAAAGCGTAATGGCGCAGCTACAAGGACTGCTCCTTCTAAAATGTTATATTTTTTTTTCTTCTTCTGCACACATTCCACCTCAGTTGGCATAGATAAGTTTGATGTAGACCCTTGACATTTATATTTTGAATCATTATGAGCACATGGAAATAAGATCAATGCTTCTCTGGCTCATGCTCTTGCTTCTTCTTTTTTTTCCAAAAGAATAAACAGGAAAAACACCTAAACAACCATTCAGTCATTCTTCTAGCTGTGGTTTAAAAAGTTATGAAACCTGATGTTGAAACTAAATTTTTAAGCCATTATTAGCAGAAGAAAGGCTTCCAAATGCAACTTTTCGATAAATACCCATAACAACAAATTTCTAGGGTACACCCTTTGAACTACAGAGTACTAACCTCATCTTCTCGTCCTTGAGTATTCTGTTCCATGGTTGTTAATTCTTGATGCGATGAAAATTGAACATAAACATTCCTTCCCCTGTAGCCAACAATCAGAAATTATAGATATCAATCAAATGTGTGATACAAATGAAGAAAAGTTCCAATCGACACTCAATCCATAGTTCCCAAAGAATGTTAGAAATCAATTAGATATACCTTATGCTAGGCTGCACATTTGTGTAGAACTGCAATGCATTAATTGCTGAATGAACATCCTGCATTTGGAGGAGTGCCTATACAAAAGCATACATACCCCAAATTTTTAAGTTCCATGAGTAAAGCAGTTACGGATCTCTGTTATTCAGCCAAAAAAAAAAATACCTGATTTTTTGCACGAAGCATCACAAGCTTGGTAATGACCCCAAATGGCTGGAACAGCTGAAGCAAATCATTCTGGAAAAACAAGGTAGAATGTCTACATAGATAAATTCATGGAGCAAAGCAAAAGAAAGCGATAATGCAGGCAAGACCACAGACATGCAAATGCACCCAAAACAAATCTTTGAGTGCAGACATTATACTCAAACCAATTACGGCACCCAATTCATATACAGAATTACCCTTTGATCTTTTTAAAGTTTTTTGTCATAAATATGACGTATAGTCGTGTCCATGCATGTACATGAAGCCCTCCTTGAGTTAAGCCATTGTTGTGTCCATTCCCAGGCATTATTGAAGCTTTTGTATCCCATTTCAGTAAAGAAGTGTTCCAATCTAATATCTTCATTCTTGAAGATTACTTCTCTTGTCCTCTGGTTCTTGGAAATATAGCATCCACTTTCGTATTAAGGACTTCAAGTATTAAGATGTCAACCAAGCAAATGTTACTTACGATCCCATTGTGACATAATAATAAAATGCTTTTTATGACTTCGAGCATGCTTTTTACACATGAATTTGATTAAAAAAAACACTTAAGAATTTAAATGCTGACAACAGCTGCAAAAGAAATCAATTCGACAGAATGATAGGCAAGATAATGATGCAAATTTAGTCATGTTACCCCCTTTTGAAAAACCAGTTATTTTCCCAAATTAAGGAAAAAAACACACTACATTGTAGACAAATAAATAATAATAATTTATATCCATCGTTTAAAATTAAATATTATTCAAGCTAATAGGATAACAAACGGAACAAATAACAATGAACTGGAAGTCTCCCGTCAGTAAACCAGAATAGCTCAAAACACCATGCACATTATATCTATTAGGAGACTGAAAGTTGGGTCGCACCTCACTAATTTCATGCCCCACATTACGGACGTGAATGACTTTTGAAGGCTCTGCCATTTCTAATGACCCTGAAAAATTCCCAATTTATTTAATTATCAGAAGTATTCAAATTCAACAGATTGAAATTAACACAAGTTCCTCCATAAAGCCATGCGGGAAAATGGGTATAAACAAATGACAAAACATTCAGAAATCACTGATCGTGATCTCGCATAAAAGAATCGACATTTTTGGGTATTAAAGCAGGCAAACTGATTCAAAACCCTACTTCCACCACGATCAACAGAAGTAATATATGCACATGTATACTAATATACGAACTAATAATAAAAATTAAACTTGATGCTATTGAACCCAAAACCCTAGATTCATTCAACAGTGAATCAATAGAAACAGACCTGGACTACAAAACGAATCGTAGCAATAGATAGATACGGATATAGGTAGAGGNCTAGATTCATTCAACAGTGAATCAATAGAAACAGACCTGGACTACAAAACGAATCGTAGCAATAGATAGATACGGATATAGGTAGAGGAGAGAGAGAGAGAGAGAGAGAGATTGAAGAAGGAAGGGGACGAATCAGAGCGATAGCTACGACTGCGTGAGTGCGTGCGCTCTATATCTTATCCAATTGGGGAAGAAAGATATACCTTGATTTAGCTTTAGCCCTAAGTGCTATCTTCCATGTGTCTTTGTTTTGGTGTGAGCGGTGGTACCCATTTTATCTTGGGCCCACATTAGGCGCTGTTTGGATAACAGTTTCCCAAAAATGAAAACTAATTTTGCTCAAAAATATTTGGAAAGTTAAGCCCAAAATAGAAAAATAGTATCGAAAAGATATTTTTAGAGTTTTCCTTATTAATTTACTGGTCGTAATCCGTGCTTAAATGTACGTTAAAATATAAAATTTAAACATTTAAAAAATTAATTTCACTATATTAAATTTTTTTAACATGTGTATACTATTATATCTGAATAATGTTTAAAATAAAAATTATATTAACTACAAATTATATTATATATAAATAATTAAACATATAATAAAAATAAGTGATGCGATTTGACGTTTGAATCTGACAGAGAGATAATATATGAGGTAAGTGATTAATGATGATTTTAAAAAAAAAATATGATTAAGATAAAATTTAAAATATAAACTATTTTATTATATAGATTTTCGGTAATTCTTCTGTACGAATCTCATTGAGCAATTGGTAATGGTTGTACCTTCTTTTTCGTTTACATTATTTCTTCCTTCTTTGTGAATGCTTTGTTTCGTTCTCTGGGGCATTACTTGTATTAATACTCAACTTTAAATTCTCTTTATAGCATCGAATTGAGTAGGAATTTAAATAAAAACTCCTATTTTGACACTCTATGTTGCTAGACTCTACTTCTTTCCCTGGGCTCGCGTTGTTCTATTTGGGATTTAGCCTACCAACTATAGACTTGGGTGGGAGAACAATATACAGTTGTCTATTGTCCCATCAACCGCTCGTGCACACAATGGTGGGTAAATTTTAACTACAAATTTTATTTTATTCTCTAATAAAAAAAATAATGTGATATATTTATATTTTTTATACCATATTTAATGCTTAATAATTCATAAAACATAAAAGGGTCTTAATTCGGTATATATATTCCATGCAATTAAAAAATAACTAAAAAAAAATTAATTATAACCCTTTACAAAAAATGAGACTAATTTCAACCATTTATAAGCTATGCTATCGAAAATATCTTTTTCTATATAAATAATCAAATTATCTGTCATCCATTAATTAATCATTCAATTACGTAACTTAGTCTTCACAATTTTCATTGTTGAAAATGTTCTTTTATCAATGACATGTGTAATTGGTAATATCAATGTAAAAGTCATAAATAAGTAAATTAGTGAGCATATCACGTATTTTTTTGCCTCAATCATTTTTTTTAGCTAGATCACCAATTCCTGACAAGTTTGCGAACTCAATGCTAGAGCACACATCAACAATATAACTGTCAAGTTGATCAAAAAGTCTCATGAACTCTATTGAAGAAAATTTATTTTGGTAAAATTCAACAAAACAAATCAACTTCTTCATGTCAAAAGCAAATAATAAATTAGATGGACTTAGACATGCTACACAAAGAAGTAATTCAGTGTTTGATTAAGTGAAACGATCATTTAGCTATTTAAGTTGTATATCAATAACAATTTAAAGAGCTAGGTTTTTCATTCCTTGGCTACGCATTGACAGCTCGAGCTTGAAATTTATCTTCCATATTTAAAACAATTATATCATGTTTTGTCACAAAAGAAAGAAAAGTCATCAAGCAAATAACTCCACTCAGTCTCCTTCATTATTTGGAGTTGTAGCTTGGACATTTCAACTAATTTCATGGCATTCACGATATTTTGATATTTTCTTTGTAATGATTGAAATAATTTATGACATTCAACTCATGTACTTCAATTAATGATGAAAAATCGAAGGTGGTCTGGACAAGGTCCACATTGATACAAAAATCGATATACATGGAATGTAGAAACGAAAAAAAAATATACAAAAAAAATCCAATAAAACCCATTTACAAAAAATGAGAATAACTATAACTATTTACAATTTATATCTTAAAAATATTGCATGATAACTCTATTATCTATACAATAAAAAAAAAAAAAAAACACTAGCGACAATCCTGTAAGATGTAAAGATTTGTACTCCTCCCCTCCCACCCCATTCTATTTATTCCTTTCCATCTTGCAATTTTCCCAAGTACTGGTTTACACAACTAAACCCACAAAAACATGTAGATGGAGTAATCGAAATCGAGACCCAGAAAAAATGGAAGCTGAGACTTCCGTTCAAAAAAGCGAGATTGCAGTTACTGAATGGGTAAGCAAAACATGACAAGAAGAGACAGTAGAGATGGGAAATAGAGTTCAATATGGAAACAACAACTGTTTGTAGCTTATCAATAAAAATGGGTTCTCTATTCTACCTATTTTTTCACTATGCTCCTCTTTGTCTCAATTCTCAAGTTTGTTTATTTCTCCACGAGAGGAACAACGGGCAAAAGGCTTTAGTTTTAGCCTTCATGTCCATAATTGGTGGGTGGACCAAACTTCCTTTTGTTTGTTTTGAGTGGGCATACAAGGACTGAGCCCAATTTTTTTTGGGCGGGCTTAGCTTCAAACATTTACACAGCCGAAACGAACACACGTATGTAATAAAAAGTATTAGACATAATTGAAAAAAAGTATATAGAATAAAATNCCTTCATGTCCATAATTGGTGGGTGGACCAAACTTCCTTTTGTTTGTTTTGAGTGGCCATAGAACGACTGGGCCCAATTTTTTTTGGGCGGGCTTAGCTTCAAACATTTACACAGCCAAAACGAACACACGTATGTAATAAAAAGTATTAGACATAATTGAAAAAAAGTATATAGAAAAAAGTATTTTAGAAAAAAGTATACAGTTAATATAAAAAGACGTAAATGCCTATTTTAAAACTTTAACAAGGCATTTATTAAACGCTGAAATTTATGATCATGTAATTCAAAATTTTTTATATTTAATGCACCTNGCCTATTTTAAAACTTTAACAAGGCATTTATTAAACGCTGAAATTTATGATCATTTAATTCAAAATCTTTTATATTTAATGCACTTTGACTCATGCGTATTTTTATTTTGGAAAGTGATTTTATTTTTAAATTATATTTATAAATTAAATATTTACTACTAGTAGTTTTATAGGGGAAATAGTAATTGCACGTGCCTGAAGGCACTGCATTACTCGTAAAAAATGAACAAAAAATTCTCCAAAGCAACACCACATATATAAATACATCAGGAAAAAAAAATACTATAGAACTAAATCAAATTTACAATCTTTAAAAAAAAAATGAAATCAATAAAATCTTTCTTGTATTCGTCACCATTACCATAATCTAATTCAATAACATAACATAATTATAAACTCAATCCACCCAAGTAATAAATATCACAAATAAAAAATTGTTCACAAATGCACTCATCTATATAATAAAAATAAGTTCACAAATATTGTCAAAAAAATAAGTTTTTCTATTTGATATTGGTTTTGGTGTTGAAGTGATGATTTGTACGCGGTTGTTGATGTCAAATGCTAAACATGCAAACCTTAAAAAAAACATTGAACTTAGTGAAATTGAGTGTTTTATGCGTGTTTAATATAAATTTTTAAATTTATGCCAAGTTGAATCATAAATTAAGAAATGTAATAAAATTAACCTAAATCGATATATAAACAATAAAGTTGTAACATATAACATTTAACTGCAATCAGCTCATGTCAAAACATCCACAACTAAATACCAACATTAAACATTAAAACCAATAAAATCTTGCCAAAGCATACACCATTAACTTTTGGTGCTATCAATTTCATGTATTTTTTTTTTACATTGGTCTCTTGTTATTTTTATGTTTGTGAGAAAATGATGATGACGATTAGATTAGTTTTGAATTTTTTTTTCTACGGTCGCAATTAGTTTCATTTGTTTTGTTTTTATTGTACACTTGTTATTTTTTTATTTTTTATTTTTTGTTTGATTGGAAGAATTGGTAATTAGATTGAATTTTTTTTTTTGGTGTAATTGGTATCACTTATTTTTTTTAATTGGTGATTAACTTAGGCTTTGTGTTTTTGTTTCTTGGAAGAATATTTATATTTTTTTTTGTGTGGAAGTGGTGATGGTGATTAGATTGATTTTGAATTTTTTTTATGCGATTGCAATTGATTTCAATTGTTTTGTTTTTACTGATCACTTGTTATTTTTTTATTTTATACTTTTTGTTTGTATTTAAGAATTAGTAATTAGTTTGGATTTTATTATATAGATTTTTTGTTTTTTTGGTGTAATTGGTATGACTTTTTTTTTATTAGTAATTACATTGGGCTTTGTGTTTTAGTTTCTATTGTTTAGTTTTTATTGGTCACTTTTTTCTTTGCATTATTTTGGTCATTTGCTTTAGTTTTGCATCATTATTTTGGGGGAATTATTTTGTTTTTATTGGTCACTAGTTATTTTTTTTTATGGAGTTTGGGGGAATTGTTTTTTTTTTTTAAAAAGTTTGAGAACTATATGTTTGAATGTAGCACATTTTTTTTTTTTATAAATAATAGCTTGAAGGGTGAATTTATGAATTAGATATTGATGATTAGATTGAGTTTTATTTTGAATCAACTTTTTCTATCAGAAATTCAACTAACTTTCAAAAAAATGTGTAAAAGCTGTTAATTTTTATTTATATTTAAGATTTTCTCATTCTATGAAATCATAAAAAAATATATATATTTTCTTATTTGAGTACTGATTGTGATATTGTTAAACATGCAAATCTTGAGTTAATAAAGCAATTAAAAATAGCAATACACATTTAACATCTAATATCTTTTTTTATAATGATAAATTCATGTCAAAGCATGTACAACTAAACCAAGACAAAAATTAATTAAAAAGAACAAATATTTAATGATAATCACACAACAAAATTTTAATATAAATTAAAAAGAACAAATTCATTACAACTTACCTGGTAAAGAAGAAAATGCGTATTTTGCGAATGTGTAGCTCTGTGAGAAAATAGTAA